GAACGTCTAGGTTACTTGTGTAACCCTCGTTCCCTGAAGGACTCTCGGGCGAGATCCCAATTCGTCAGTCACTGACGTAACGTCTCCGTTCCCTCCTTCAGGGAACGAGGGTTACACAAGTAACCTAGACGTTCTTGACACTTCTAATTCAACTTTCTGTGACCTAGGCCATATGCCCAGGAGGGAAAGGAGGGGACTTAAGGATGGGTGAATGGACAGTTGGGCAAATGGTTTTCTTTGAGATCTTCTCTTCAGATTAGAAAGTCTATTGTTCCCATCATCGCTATGGGAACACCTCCGGTGTGACGAATGTCTGAAGCCCTTATACCATCACGCCAATTTATTGGACAATAGCGCTTAGCACCGCCCCGAGCATATGTCACGTATGCTCATATATGCGTGCTGTGCGCTATTTCATCAGATTTTAATTCCTCCCGGAAGCAAATCATCTGTTGCCCGTCAGAAAGAGATTCTTGTGTTCTAAGCTATCTATTTATATAGAGTAGTTTACTCCTCTAAGGCGGACACAATGAGTTTTCCGGTATGTATGGATGCATGTTACACAGACTCACGAGGAAACCGGTAGGAAGACCGCTTTGCGGCCTTTATCTATTGTTGTATCCGTGATATCTGTGTTTGAGTAAGTTGCGCTCTGGGCTCACTCTCTTTCTGAGGAAGGAGAGATGTTCGTTCAACCCCCGCTGTTCCAGTTCTGCGGTTGCCGAGGCGCCGCATGAGCTCGACGCTTGGGGTGACGGCAATGAGCCCAAGTGTACAGAGAGTGAAAGAACGGAATTAATCCCCTTCTCTCTCGCTCTCTTCCCCAGACCACGTGCGTTCATCAGAAGAGCGCCTCGTGAGTCAGGTGGTTAGTCAAATCTGATTCCTGCTCCGGAAGCTCGTAATCGATTCTTTCGGCTGCGGATTACATGATTTGTTCACAGGTATGTTTTTAATTGTGATGTGAATTGATATAGAGTCCAGTTAACGGATGTGTGCCGGAAGAGAGTTCCAAAGATGTGGGGCAGAGCAACTGAAGGCTCTGGCCCCCATAGTGCTAAGTCTGAATGTTGGTACAGTTAAAATTGCAGTCTTAGAGGAACAAAGTGTTTGAGGAGAAGTATAGGGAAGAAGTAGGTCAGAGAGATATGGGGGGCTAGCTTATGAAGGGCTTTGAAAGGTAACAAAATAATTTTGTAATTGATCTGGTGGGAAACAGGAAGCCAGTACAGCTGGATAAGGAGAGGTTTAATGTGGTCCGTTGATCTGGTGCGAGTAATGATCCTGGCTGCAGAATTCTGAATTGATTGAAGACAATGCAGAAATTTATTTCAGGTGCAAATGAGGAGGGCATTGTAATAATCTATACGGGAAGTGACCAGAGCATGGACAAGAACATGTGTATTGTGCTGGGAGAGGGATGGACGAAGTCTGGAGATGTTGTAGAGGTGGAAATATGCAATAGAAGAGATATTGTTGATGTGAGGACCAAAGGAAAATGCACTATCTTTTGCACTTTTAACTTGGGAGGAGATGAGAATCTGAGAGCCATCACCTGATACGGTGAAAGGATGAACTTTGGAGAGTGTGGCTCTAGATCCAATGGGGAGAAACTCACTTTTGTTTCCATTGAGTTTGAGAAGGCTGATTGCTCTCACTTCCTGTCTACAAGCTATCAGCAACTGAATGTCAGAGGGAGGAAGAGAAGTACTTGGCTTTGTAGAAAGATAGAGTTGTGTATCATTGGTGCAGCAGTGAAAATTGATCCCAGAATGTTGGAGAATATTGCCTTGCGGTAAAATGTAGATGATAAAAAGCAATGGTCTCAGCATGGAACCCTGGGGAACACCATGAGTAACTGTGGCAATTTTTGAAGCTACATTTTTTCCCTGAATGATATATTTTCTATTTAGTAGATATGACCTGAACCAGGCTACTGCATTATTAATGATCCCAATGGTAGCCAAACATTCCAATAGAATTGAGTGGGAGATGGTGTCAAAAGCTTCAGTAAGGTCGAGAAGGATCAAGATGGATAAAAGGCCATTGTCAGCTGCAAGTAGAAGATAATTTGTAATTTTTACCAGAGCTGTTTCAGTGCTATGATACTGGCGAAAGCCTGACTGAAAAGGTTCGTAGAGGTTATCGTTCAGGGTAGTTTACTGCCTATATTTTAGGCAGCAGTTTCTTTAACTTGTGATACAATTTAGAATAATAAAATGGATAAAACATGAGTACATCAAAGCAAAAGCCCTGGTGTTAAATGACCACTGCTCAGAATACATAGTGGCCCTCATTTATGAAATGGACATGATAGAAAACTGCAGCTTTTCACAGTCATTTTACATTTTAATTGAGGAGCCTAATCTTTTGTTATACTCGCAGCACATCAGTTATTATTGCAGGGCAAATTAATTGTAACTTTAATTTAATAATAAAAGTAACTTCATAATAATAATAGGCCTAATAAAAAGAAGTATGTAACATGCCTACATTAATTGGAAATGCCAAACCTCTTAATATTGCCAATAATTTATGTTTTTGACAATATCTCTGGCTATCGTCCATACAAGATCATCGTCTTTCAACACAACCCAGCAAGAGGAGGTTATCGCGGGGCCGCTGGGCAGAAAGCACGCTGCGTTACGTCGTTTGGGCTGCCTTGTTGATCGCTGAATTTCTGAATGTATGGTATATTATTATCTGAATGTAACTTATTCCGACCATTCGTACGATGGGATTGGCAGTATACAAATGTTCCATGAATTACTTGTGAACCCTGTAGTAAGTTGATTTGTGCAGCCAGATCTGTGCTCGTTTCTATGTTAGATTGATAAATGAGGGCCATTGACCCAATCTACAGGTCCTGGTTGTTCAAAAAGTTTAATGCGGCTCCGAATGATTCAGTGATTCACCCAGTAATTCAGACTCAATCAATGATTCAAGTTACCAAATCCAGATTACCAGTAGTCAGAATGAAACCACATATCACAATGTAGGCTGAAGATACATAATAACAACTTTTTACACAAGAATACTTTTTGTGTGCAAAAAATTAAAATAATGACTTTATTCAACAATTCTTCTCCACACGTCACTCCAGCACCATTTAATTCAATTAAACAATACAAAAAACAATATTTACTCACAACAAATGAATAAAAGCAAACAAATGTACATGCATTAAGAAATTGTTAGAAACTACATTTGACTGGTACATCTCTGATGATCGTCATTGTAATTAAAGGGGTCATATGATGCAATTTCACGTTTTTCTTTCTCTTTGGAGTGTTACAAGCTGTTTGTGCATAGATAAGATCCCTAAAGTTGCAAAGACTAAAGTCTCAAACCCAAAGAGATATATTTAAAAGTTAAGACTCATCTATACCTTCCTAAAATGCCTCATTTAAACATGCCCCCACATATCTACGTTACTGTGTGGGAAGATTTGCATAACATCACCCAAATGTTTACGTTAAGAAAGAAGTTGTAACTTTTATTCTTGCTGTAGTATTGTTGTGTTTCATTGCGAAAGCGAAAATACCTTGTTTGGCCTTCCAAAAGAGGACTCAACTAGAAATCAGTGGTTAAGTTGTATTTACAACACTGTTCCAGAACACTTCATCACAAATATTCACGTGTGTTCAGCGCATTTTACGGAGGTAATGAGATTTATAAAAATCTAGGCGTTTCAGAAATACGGGGCATAGAGGAGAAACAATAATGTACAGTATGTTATGTGAACTTTAAACTGCATAAATATACAAAATAATGTTCTTTTTAGCAATGTCATTTGATCCCTTTAATATTTCAGATAATTTAATTTATTTATTTTACTGTACTCAAAGGCTTAATCAAATCAAGTACATAACATAAAGAATTGTGTATATGCACATCTGATACAAATGTTGCATTATTTGACCAATTGTACAGTTTTATTACATGTTGTACCCTTCTGCTGGGATTATAAAAATGCTATTATTTGTATTCCAAACATTTGACTATCATGTACTAATCACTCATTGTTTATGTCCTGTTGAATAACTAGTGAATAGTTTAGAGATTTATAGGTGTGTTTGGTTTGTGTGTGATTGATAATGCATGCCTGAGATGGTGATAACAATCAATTCTTGGTAAAATATATAATATTCTTGTTATAGAAATTATCAAGGAATTTGCTGATTTTCAATCTGAGCTAGTGCTGGCTGCAGATAAAGTCTCAATTGTTGGCCATTTTAATATCCATGTAAATAATTAAAAAGATGCATTGGGATCAGCATTTATACACATTCTAAACACTACTGGGGTTAGATAACACGTGACAGGACCTACTCATTGTCATAATCATACTTTAGATTTAATACTATCACATGGAATTGATGTCAATGGCATTGAAATTCTGCGGCAGGACGATGGTATCTCAGATCATTATCTAGTCTTGTGTATACTCCATATAGCTAAAGCTGCAAATTCAACTCCTTGTTACAAATATGGTAGAACCATCACTTCTACCACAAAAGACTGATTTGTAAA